GTGTTCAGGTTAAAGGTCACAGTGTTCAGGTTAAAGGTCACAGTGTTCAGGTTAAAGGTCACAGTGTTCAGGTTAAAGGTCACAGTGTTCAGGTTAAAGGTCACAGTGTTCAGGTCAAAGGTCACAGTGTTCAGGTCAAAGGTCACAGTGTTCAGTTCAGTGTTCATAATTTTATTTTTATAAATATTGGACCTGAGTAAAGGAGGTCCTCCAGATAACGAGGGAAACCAGAACCCTGAGGACCGGTATGGGTCCATCAGTCTGTCCGACAGAAATGTGTTGACTCTGGTCCAGATGGTCCAGCTGTCTCGCTCCTGTTTGGTTCTGGGACAGGTCTCTGGACTCTAGGGGGTAAAGATGTCACCTGTTGTGTGTTTGCAGCTGTTCCATGACGCTACAGAGTGCATGAACCTGCTGTCTCAACGCCTCGGCTCCCAGAAGTTCTTCTTTGGAGACTCGTAAGTTCATGAGCTCTAACATGTACCTGTCCAGGTGAGACCAGGACTTTATCAGTCCAGGTTTCTGTAATCTGGTCTGGATCATCGGTTCTACAGCCTGTTTTCTCTCAGCTTCCTGAAGTTTTATCCACCTATCCAAGAAACCTGAGCCAGGTTTCTACCTGATCCTCAGAGACCTGCTGAGTCAGCGTGTCCCCCGTCCTCCTGGTCCAGCTCAGAAACACTACATGTTCTGGTTTCAGCTTCAGGCAGAATCAAACCTTTGTCTCCTCTGCAGGCCTTCGTCTCTCGATGCTTACGTGTTCGGCCACCTGGCGCCGGTGCTCAGGTGTAAACTTCCCAACGGAAAGCTGCAGCAGCACCTGAAGACCCTGAAGAACCTGACGGACTTCTGCTCCAACATCCTGCTGCTCTACTTCCCCAGAGACGTCCGAGGTGAGGACGCCTTCTGTCCCTGCAGTGACCTTCAAAATAAGAGTCTGAAGGTGTTACAGACCATAGATAAATGTTTGAGTTTTGATTTGACAGACAGCGGCGGTCCGAAGGCGGCGCCGCAGCCCGACGACGCCGACTTCAACGACGTCCCCGACAAACGCAGGAAGCAGCTGCTGTCGGCGCTCGTGGCTCTGGGCGCCATGCTGACCTACGCTCTGGTGTCCGGCATGGTGCCCATCCTGCAGGGGACACTGGAGGAGCCGCCGGACCTGGAGCCCATCAGATACCAGGACCACGAGGAGGAATGAGGCGGCTGAGGGTCCGAGGAGGCGGCTGAGGGTCCGAGGACCCCTCAGGACTGATTTTAAATATCCATCAGATTCATCAGAAAACTGCTGAGTCATGAAACATGTTAAAACCTTTAAAATAATGTGAAGAGTCGACAGGAAGTGGAACAGGAAGTGGAACAGGAAGTGATCATTTATGATGTAACTTGATTTTCACTGAACTTTATTTTCTTTAAATGTTTTTTAAGTTAATTTTTGTTTTTTTAGTTTCTGTTTCAAACAGAACCTGAACAATAACAACAGATCTGTAAAACATCCAGTTTCTGTTTATCCTTCTCATCTCTAAGACAAGAGCAGGTTAACTACCAGAACCAGGCCAGAACCAGACCAGAACCAGGCCAGAACCAGACCAGAACCAGACTGGAATCAGACTGGAACCAGACCAGAACCAGACTGGAATCAGACCAGAACCAGACCAGAACCAGACCGGAACCAGACCAGAACCAGACTGGAATCAGACCAGAACCAGACCAGAACTGGGCCTTTCTGAAGAAGGAGAGCTCTACAAGAAAATTCCTACAGCAATAAAAAATGCTAATAAAAAGCAGAAAGTAGCAAAATGCTAGCTAAAATTCTTATAGTAGCAGAACTATGAGCTAAAACCAGCAAAACGTTACATTAATGTAGCAGATTTTTAGCTACAAGTAGCTGAAAGCTTCTAAAATGGGGCGGCTGTGTGGCGGAGTGGTTAGGGGAGTCGTCCTGGAACCAGAAGGTCGCTGGTTCAATCCCCCGTCCAGCCGTCTCAGTCGTTGTGTTCTTGGGCAAGACACTTCACCCACCTTGCCCACTGATGGTGGTCAGAGGGTCCGGTGGCGCCGATGCATGGCAGCCCCACCTCTGTCAGTGTGCCCCAGGGCAGCTGTGGCTACAGTGTAGTTTGCCATCATCAGTGTGTGAATGTGAGTGTGAATGGGTGAATGTCTGTTAGTGTAAAGCGCTTTGGGGTCCGGAGGGACTTGAAAAGCGCTCTATAAGTTCAGTACCATTTTTTTTTAAATTAGCTAAATGGCAGCTAAAAGGATCAGAACAGTAACAATTAGCTAATTAGTAGCTAAAAGCAGCAGAACTGTAACAAAGTAGCCAAATGGCAGCTAAAATCAACAGAACTGTTACAAGTAGGTAATTAGTAGCTAAAAGGAGCAGAACTGTAACTAAAAGTAGCTGAATTGCAGCTAAAATCAACAGAGCTGTTACAAGTAGCTAATTAGTAGCTAAAAGTAGCAGAGCTATAACTAAAAGTAGCTTAATGGCAGCTAGAATCAAAACTGTTACAAGTAGCTAAATGTAGCAAAACTATTACTAAAAGTAGCTGAATTGCAGCTAAAATCAGCAGAACTGTTACAAGTAGGTAATTAGTAGCTAAAAGGAGCAGAACTGTAACTAAAATTAGCTGAATGGCAGCTAAAAGCAGCAGAACTGTTACAAGTAGCTAAAAGTAGCAGAACTATAAAAGTAGCTGAATGGCAACTAAAATCAGAACTGTTACAAGTAGCTAATTAGCTAAAAGCAGCAGAACTAAAAGTAGCTGAATGCTTCTAAAAGTAGCTATACGGCAGCTAAAA